AAAACATGTTATAAGCAAGCCCTTTTCCTCTCCTTTTCAAAGTCGTAAAGTAGAATACTACTGAACAATAGTTCATAAATTTTTTAAAGTGGCAAAACCTTGGTCAATGAATTATACAGGTTGTTGTGAAAAACGCAACAGTGGTGGTTTAGGGTGATTCAGAATCAAGTCTTGTATAATTCAAATTTACAAAAAAATCCGTTTAGCAGTTTAAGTAAAAAAAAGGCCCTATCACATTATTTTTATTTTTCCTGTACACAATACTCCATTCCGAAACATCCTTTAAAATATATCACGTATTTTTTAAACATTCTGTATTTAAAAAAGAAAAAGCTTACCTTATTGTTATTACTAATTTTTCTTCTGCTGGAATGCATTTCCGATAGTTGTTACCAGTTCCAGTAATTTTTGGTTTTATTGTATCCAGTAACAGGTTAAAAGTATTCGTTGACATTCTCATGTAATTAAAGAATCTCTTCTCATACATTTTTAAATCCAAAAAATAAGTATAATATAATCCTTTAGTCTTTCTCTCGCAAAGTAATGGATGCACCCAAAACTGTCTTTTACGTGAAATCTTCCGTTTTCGTTTTCGTAGTAAATACACAAGCACAGTTAGCGTGATTATCTTCTGCACGTCCATCTTGACACATCCTTGGAAGTCGACTGCAAATTTTTCGGCCGTCCACATGTCGCGCTTGCCTACGCACCGGCGACCATGGCCGCGGCGGCCTGGCCGCGTCTATGGTCGCCAGTGCGTAGGCAGCCTAAGTTCCTTGGAATACTGTAATGTTCATAACAGTGATAATATTTATCCACCCACCACAGTCTTCATGAATCATTTTTATTTGTACGCAAGTAGTTGATTAGCATCTGTACTTGACACATCTCATCAATTTTTGGTTCTATAAGATGTCGATTTCTCACAATGTTCCTTCCAGCGTACAGGAAATTACGCTTATAGAAGTAACAGTTCAGAGCATATCCGTGGTTTGAACGAAAGGCTGAGAATCATTCACCTAATCTCTATGAACACTGCTGACAATATTGATAGAACATTTCAAAAAGTTAATAAATCTAAGCGAAAGAAATCGATTATATTGGCAACGTTTCCTAAATGAAATGTTAAAAGAGAAAAAGCGAGGCCGCTGCCAAAAGGGTTAATTTTCAACTTTTTCGCAGTGTTGCAGTTTTTTGCGACTCTTTTAACCCTTTCAATTGACTTTCAGCTCCGCACTATGCTGACTGATTACTTTGTGTCCAAATAACAATATTCGTTTATAAGGTAGCTTTATGAAGCTTATTGGTAGTGCATAGTAGCACTAAATAATACGATACGGCATCACAAAGCGTCAAATCATTAATTTCTGGAGAAGATTATATAGTCAGGTTGCTTTGGTTTTTTTATTACTACATCAATCTTATGAAATATAAGTAAAGTCAAAGGGGTAATTTAAGTTTTCAAAATATATTTTGCTGAAAAATAATATATATTTCCTTATTAAACTCGAATTATTTACATTCTGAAAACGTATGGAAATCTATGTTGATCACTAGATCACTAGATCAACATAGGTTTCCATCTCCATCCAATCACTAGAATAGGGTAGTTATTCTCAACCTTGGGGTCGTGTGTTTAAACGCGGCACCTAAACATTTATACGCTCATTGATTGATACTGAAACATAGTTTGATGGCGTCTGTCAAGTACAGGTTTGGCTACTTGCCTATACGGACAGCAATTTTTGGTAGTATAGTCGATGTTTCTTAATTTTGGGTCACAAAAGTAAAATAAATAATTCATATGGAATATAAATAAAGCTTGACCTTATTTGCGGATGAATTGTTTTAAAATTTCCTACAATCCTTTTTTCATATTGAGAGTATGTGTTTGAAATCGGAGCCTTTACGAAACCTTTTAAAAAAGCTTTATTTTTTATTTTCCCCGTACAAATTTCCCTGTAGATTTTTTTTCCTGTGTAAAGCCTGTATGGCATATTTTGTTACAATGTTATCAAATATACGAAAGGTACGAAATATAGAAAGTTTAAAAGCGATCTTTAAAAGCGTCACAGAGCTTCAGCTTTGCACGAGGTGCTATATTTCTTTAGCGTTTGACAGCCGTTTGTTATACACCTACGACTCGTTATTAGAACTGGATATTATTTTATCGTTTCATGATTCTTAGAGAGACGAGCTACTTTAAAAAAAAAGTATTACTAACGCAGCTCACACACCCATTTTATCAAAGGGCACGTCGTGAACCTTTGGCGTGGGAGTATGATTATTTTTGACGTAATATAAACTTTGTCTAATGGGGAAGAAGAACCACAACATTGGTTGTGAACTAAGAACGGTTTCTTTTTAATATTGTTAAGTTAGTAAGATTAAAAAAATGGTGTCACAAATTTTTAAATCAAATTTGTTTATTTATTATCCATTATCTAACTTTATGTAGTATCAACGCAAGCCTTATCACGTCTTATACGAGTAGTGATCGAACACACAGATATTTGTCGGTCTGAGAAATTGTTCGATTGAATGACGTAGATAAACAAAGGTTTTACGCCAATTGACTTACGATTCGCGTTTTAATTAACGAATGTCACAGCTAATTAGTGGGGAACGTTTAATCTGCGGTATTAATTAATTAATTTTAATTGAAATTGATTTTGTTGAGAAAAGTCAACAAGCTTTAATATTTATGATACGCAACTTTCCACCTGAGCCAGAGAAAAAGCTGAAATTAGATATTTTCAACAGACACTATCTATTATGCTTTTCGTAATGACAGACTGTGTCCTTTACGGTATATTTTTAGATTATTCTTTAAATTGCTATATTTTGCAGAGTTTAGAAGACCTTTCAATAAAAGGATTTTAACAAAATGTATTACAACACAAACTGTAGGTAGATTCGTCTTTGAGACATGCACACCCATTATTTTCTTAACATGTAAAACTAAATATTTTTAGTTACTTAAAAATAATATTTTAACAGTTACAAAGACTTTCTAGCCACGTATTATACGTTCTTTAAATACACATCTTTGCTCACAATAAACACAATTCACGGACATAAATCTTGAGTACAACCGGCCTTATCGCTTATTAAACGAAAAGATTCTCTGTTTCAGGTGTTTGCAGATTATGTGATCGACTTAACAATGGTAATTCGAGTAAAAAATATGGTACACCTGATGATGATCTATCGAACCATTATCGCAGAATAAACCATACAATGCCGGTTCATTAGTATCGTACGCAATTACGTGCAGAACAGCAATCAATGATTATTTCTGTTTCACGTATTATTATTTCATTCGTTTAGTGGCAAGATATTAATGTTGGATCGTAAATTGCTAAAGTTAATTTTATTAACATATTTGATCATTAATGACCACAAATTTGAGAGGTGTCTGTATGTTATTGCATATTTAACGTCTTACAATTTAATGTATTTATTTATTTATGTATTGCACTTTGTTGCTTTATAATATAAAAATTTAACATATTTACATGTAAAGGCCTTATCGCTTTCGAGCGATCTCTTCCAGGCAATCAATGTGAGAAAAGAAAAGTCAGTCGCACGTCAGTAGGTATTATTAAACTTGGGGATACGATGTGGACAGGTAATGTTTGTACAGAAGAAATTTGCAGGAACATAGAGAAGGAGCTAAGCGAATACAGACTGGAAGTGAATTCCATAGCTTAACTGCAGATACCTTAAAGGACTCGGATATAATGTAATGTAGATTTAGAGTTTTAATGAGGCTTTAAGAGTTTTTATCAGGATATTAGACATGCACGCCCACAGCTGAATGCCAATATAAACACTTTTGCTATAAATTGATTCAGCTGTACCTGCTACGGTTTTCTGTTTTAATTAATTTTCTTGTAACTCAAGTCTAAATGTTCAAAAGTTTATTACTTTAGATTCTTATGGCTTGTTCACAATTACCACACTATAATTATCACATTATAATTCTCAAAAACTGTGTGATTTGGGAAATGTAGAATCGAGGCTGCCTCACAAAAATAGGTTGGTTACTCATTCGTCAGCGACATGATGCTCACGTTCTCCATCTCTTATAATCCATCCTGTTCAATCCTAAAACTCTTTCCTATCTCAAAAACGATTTCAACTTTTGGGAGTTGCCTACCTATACTACCTATAGGACCTACTATAGCTTACGCTCTTCCGAAGTCTTTATCCTTGAAATCCAATCTCATAACTCTTCCTTTCTTGGCGAATCCTTTTAGGTCTCTGCATGGCTATTGAATTCACTTCCCGTCCCTATTCGCTTAGCTCCTTCTCTATCTTCCTTTAAATCTCTCAAACATTACCTGTCCACATCGTATCACTAACTTTCTTACTAACTGGTGTGAAACTGATCTAAAATTATCGTGATTCATGTGCACTTTTTCATTTTCATGTTTTTTTTTTAGTTTAGTTTTTTGTTCCTGTTTTAATTTTGTCTAAATAACTATATGTATTATGTATTTTGGCACTTCTTGCTAACATTACCTAATTTTATTTTTTTCTGACTGTGGTTGCCTGGAAGAGATCGCACGAAAACGATAAGGCCGCCAGTTGCCCTCCTTTTCATTTAATAATGTCAATTGTATTATATTTCTGTAAGCAACGAAGTGTTAATAAATGAAATGAATAAATAAAAACATAATTTTAATCCGTAATTTACAAGAACTTGTAATATGTACGTTGCTACGTTACGTAATAATACCATTTGGGATCACTTACAATGACGCGAACATAATAAAATTGCTGACTTTCGATGTCTAACCTTTGTCGCTCATACAAATATGAATAAAACCGATATAAAACTCCAATTTCCGAGCGAGAATACTCTGCGTTGGAGGGTTAATATCAGTTCAATGGACAAACGACATTGTTTAGGTTTTATACGTTTTTTATTCAGCCGATATAAGCCACCTGTCCGATAAATCAATGTCACAAGATTGATTGCGCTCTCACTAATCATGTTTAGAAATATCCTTGTTATATCTCTCTTTGGATACGCTTTTGGACAGGATTTTTATGAAGGTATGATGTTTATATTGTTATTGTAATGTTTACTACATAAACTTATAAGAATGTTGAAAAAAATGTAACTATACGCGCAATTTTAACAGTTAAAATGCATTTTGCGATGTCACTAAGAATATTTTTCATTCATATAGAAAGAAAGTTTAATCTTTATAATTGTGCAATGGTTTCGGTTCGTTTAGCGTAGTAAATACATGTTTATCATAGAAGATACACGAACAAAATAAACTTCCTTGTTCATTGCAAAGAATTTATTAGCGAAACAAATGCAGAAAATATCGATTCGACACCACATTCTTCTTTCCTTTGCCATATTTGTTTATAAAATTTATGTTTATTTTTTATTAATTATGTTTTGCAGTTAAAATATATATTTTACAAATCTCATAATTTTCGTCAAAATATTTATGAATATAAAAAAATCTTTCTCAATCCTCATTACCTAAACTCGTTCAATCATGTGCTCAATTGTTACATTAAAAAGAAACATAATAAACCTTGATTAACGGTTACACAAGGAACGAAAAACGTAAAAGAAATACGAATGAGATAAGGTGAGGGTAATTAAGATAAGAAAAATGGCTCCAATTCTCGTTTCCCTATTTCAGAACGGCATAAATATCAATACAGAGCGCAGATTCCCCTAAACAAAATACCCAAAAATTTTGAAGTCAAAGGTGATAACGCTGTTGCTGAATTTAGTAAGTATTTGGCAACTATTCAAGATATAGCAAAAAGAGACAACCTGACAGTAATATACAAAGTCAAAGTTGACATTAATTCACCAAAAAAACAGCACAACAAGAAGAAGAAGTCACTTAAAAAGAAGAGTTCAAAGAAATACAATGTACCATTGAAAAAGCAGAGTATGAAACTGTCGAACTTTGAGATGGTCTTAAGAAAGAGAATAGGGGAGATGGGACAGCAACAGCAAAGAGCGGAAAGTGATCCTACAACGCAAAAACAAAAGATTTTGTTGACGACAAAGTCACCTTCAGCGGGGAAATACAAACCGATAATAAGAAGTGTAAGAACAAATTACGCGAAAATTGTGAGGCCAGTAAGAAATAAAGAGATTACGTTGACAAGATAATGTTTAGCGCTTGGTAATCAATATGTTATTTGTAAATACCTTTTATATAATAAATTAATGTTTTTTTTACGATGCAATATTACTTGTGTACCATAAAGACACTATCAATTATAGACCATAGTTTAGACAATTTTTTAGAAAATATTTTGCAGAAACTACAACCCATTAATTAAAATGTTCTGTTCAAAATTGTAAATCTTAATACAAAGTGATACATATGACGTCTATTAAGCTAAACAATACCGACCTAAGTAGGGTACACATCAGTCTATTATGTGTTTGACAAAAGGTGAAACTAGGTTAGGGATATTATCTTCATTACGATCTCGTGAGATATTCTTAAGATTTTCCACCACCGAACAATATAGCTAGAAAATATAATAGCTTTAACAAACACACACCTTAAATCATTCTAACAAAAACACATACACATAAAATAAAAACCGTTTAAGACATGAGACATTTCATAGCAATTGTCTTAAACCAAAGCACGTTTAGAGTGCGTAATCATAGCGTATCATGGGAGAAAGAGGAGGAGGCAGGAGTGATGGTCATCGTAGTAAATAAGTAATGATTTGTTTTTGGGGTATCTGTATAGTACCTATAACTGTTGATTTTGCCACAGTTGAAACATGCTTTGGGCATTATCAAATTAATAGCGATAATTTACTGATTTCTACCTAACAAAAACTGTCTCCTTTGAAATCGTCATGACACTTTCTGTAGTTTTGATTTCTTTATTTTTAATTGTATTTTTGTCTCGCTTTTATGCTACCAAACTGATAGCTACATAATATATCATGTATACTTGTATAGAGTAATTATTGCATGGAATTTTGTATCTTATGCTGGAGGTGTGGCTTATTGACTTCGCCTAAGATGTTCAAGATGCTTTATTATCCTTTTGCGTCGAGAACACTATTCTTAACTAATAATATATGGTTCTCTTATACATTCTTACAATATGCCAGACTGTGTGTGGAAAGAGAATCGGAAAGAGTAGTCTATATAACTTTTATGGTTATATAGACAATACTACATCATTGTAATCATCTTGATACTTAATAGAAAAAATGAAGAGTTTATTCACTTTTTTGTGAATAAATGAAATTATTATATTAATTCGCTAAACCGCCACGTCGCCTCATTCCGCACTCCGACTGCAACGTCGCTTAATTGTTTAAAGCTCTGATGTAAGAAACTTAATTAATTAGTTTTACTAATCTTCCCTGTATAAAAAAAAAGGAAGATAGAGTATAATTATCAGTAATTTGTTACCGTTGTTTTTAGTTTTATTGGAATAGTTCTTGGCTATTTGTGCTTTTTCACCGGTTACTATCGATAATGATATATATTTTAGTGAATTTGAAAACTTTAATCAAATGTTTAAAAATGGATATATTAGAAAATTTTAAAAATTTGGTTCCTGTGGAAGCTTTAATGCTAGCAGCAAACACCTGAGGAAAGCATCTGCTCTGGGGTCACCGGTACTATCTACCAGACGCCAACTTAAATATTTAATTAGCCACTGTTCACTTGAACCCCTTGGCCTTTTTAATTATTATTATTACTATGTAGTTTAAAAATATTGTACATTTGTGTGTTGGAAATAAGTAGAAAACATGCATTTGTATGATATATTTTAATTGTTATGAGTTTCACCATCCGACTTCGAGTTGTATTAACGGAATTCCACCCTTATCATCTCGATGGCCGTCATCCTTCTGAAGGTTTTAAGGCAGTTCCGGCTTTTTCTCTAAAATAAGACCGTTTTTGTCATGTCGGCGTCGAGGCATCAACAATGTCCACGGGCGTATCACTTAACATCGGATGAGTCTTTCATTTGTTTTCTGAAAACAAGTTTTGTTATTAATACACTAAATATATTTTAATCACTTTGAATTCCAAGTATATAAATTCGCTTACAGTATATTAACACAATGAGCTTAAAACTTCCGATCTGTGTTTATTTAATTTAGTACGGGTTCACCCGCGGGTGTTGCCTTTCACAGAACAAATTGTGAACGAAATAGAAATGGCTATTCGCGCCGCTTTTTAGTTGCATGTAAAATATATTTTGATTGTCTCTTTGCTGTTTTTGTTTTGTTTTTTTTGTTGTTAAATTAGATTCGTTCGTGTGTTTGACGTCTCGTGATACCACTAAAAGTTTTGGTCATATATGGCCATAAAAATAATAACGTGTTAAGCTGCATTTGCCTGTAAGTTATACTTTACTTGGCGCCACAACTTAGTATCGGATCCGGTTGATAATTCGTAGTAAAGTTCTTATTGTTGATAATAAATGCATCTGTACAAGAGAAAAATAAGTTAGGCCAGATCGTGACATGTATGATACGTGACATACACGACCTAGCTACCGACCGATATTACGTATACCTATACTAGGATGTATGTGAATGTGATTTTATAAATCGTATTTTTTTAAGGATATTTATTATATATAATTAGGTCATTTAAAAATAGTCCGTTTGATAGAATTCTACATGCCCAATCGCTTGAACGTGGGAACCATAAAATTATTACTTCAAGCAGTACATTAATTTAACAAATCAGATTTATAAAACTCTTGACAGTAGGCCACTCCCAAAAGCCGCAGATTGTCTTATACTTTGTCACAGAATATCAAATAATTGTATCTAATATAAAATTCTCGTATCGCGGTGTTTGTAGTTAAACTCCTCCGAAACGGCTTGACCGATTCTCATGAAATTTTGTGTGCTTATTGGGTATGTCTGAGAATCGGACAACATCTATTTTTCATCCACCTAAATGTTAAAGGTAGTCCACCCCTAAATTATTATTTATAAATGTTTTTTTTATGATATAGCATTATAAAAACATACAACCCCTAATTTTCATCCCTCTACGATCAACCCCTATTTTTTATTATAAATGTTATAGGTACATGGCAAAACGACGTTTGCCGGATCAGCTAGTAGTTCGATAAAAGAGGTTTTATGTAAATTCAACGTTGTCACATTGCGCTCCTTTAAACTTGGATAAACTAAGGCGTATCCAGAACTAACTAAACTAAGTAATCACTTAGCACTCATTTGCGACAGAGCAACGGCAGTGATCCAATTTGCATAATTTAACTGCGGTAGTGATTACGTTGTAGGCGCAGAAGGGGTAGTACAAATAGGTTTAAAGTTAGGTAACCAAAAAGTACGTTTTATACGTTATACTTTAACAATTGTGACGGGAATTTAAAAGTAATAAATTTATTTCAAGGACTTTTTAAAATAATGATATAATAACATATTTTATTATTATACTCCTCTATTAGGGGTTTCTTAAAACATTGTAATTCCCACCACGAAACATAATTTAGTTCTGAATATTTATGCCTTGAAATAAAAATTTCACCTAATTTAGTTTAGGTGCCTGGGTGTACAAATCTTGTCTAAGTAAAATGTCAAAGCCTCAAAATGTAAGAATGTAAGACAAAAACAAAACGATGGTACATTCCATTCGCTTCTGATATTTCAACATCTCTAGTTACGATTACGACCAATCACAATTGAACGCAACGTTTCGACTTGCGTCGTTCGTTACCTACCAAGCCTCTCTGATGTTGTTATTTGGACTATCCAACATGGTTTAATAAGTATTAGACCACAAGCCCATGAACAAAAATTCTCATCACAGATTCATGGGCTTGTGGTCTATATAGCTTACCCAGCTTTCTAAGTTGCGGCGTGTTCACATGCTTGTAAGATCATATGCTGCACGGGATGCGTTAATACAACTCTACCGTGGCAAATAAAAATATGGTAAGTGCGAAAGTGGTAAGTATATTAGACACGAAATTAAAAATACGAGTCTTAGAATAAAGCAAAATTCATGGAAAGAGCACTTCAATTATATTTTACAATACTTACATACTTTAACAAAGCCAATTTTTTTTGTCACGCTTAATTAACTATGTGACGACTAAACATATCTATACAAATCGTATGTGATGCTGGCTGGATGCAGGCTGTTCTGTGATGAGCATTTAAAACGAAAAGTGTTTTTTAAATTCATTTTGCGACGTCAACTTTTAGGAATTTTAATTTCGCTTTTAGTAATGTTCCAAACAAAATCTAGGATAATACCAGCATTTTAATTTTACCATTCCTTTATGATTTTCAACGTTTTATTCAATAAATGTGTATTGTATATGTATTAAAAAACCGTGTTGCTGTATGGTTGCGAAACGTAAAAAGATACAAAGAGCACCACACAACGTTTCCAGGCCTTTGTGAATCGCTTCCTGCTTCAAATTCTTGGAATATTCTGGTCTGAGAAAATCTATAGTCTTCAGCTATGGCAGCTTTGCAATGAAGTGCCATACTCTCCGAAGGGATCCAATTCACATTGCCAAGCAAGCTTTGTGGCTGCCCAAAACAGACTTAGCAACGAAGCATCATTGCAAAGGTGAACGAAGCTGGAATGAGGTGGAGTGAAATTAAGAGAGCTGACGAGGACCGATCAGGCTGGTTTCCTACGCTGGATGCTCTCAGTCCCACTTGGGGAACATATAACTTTAAATCATATGTTTATGCTGAGCTTGCAATTATTTACTTAGACATTAAAAGTATATTTTCTAACGACTTAATTTATGAAATTTTCAAGACAATTTTCTTCGCTGTAACAAAAGGTTAGCTATAGTAAACTAAACTAATGGAAAGCTTAACCTGCTCAGCCGGAGTTCGAACGTATATCCTCCGGGTTGAGGATCACGCTTGTCGGATATTCTAAACTTACATACAATATTGATCTGTCGTCGAATATGCAATGACACGTCAAACCCTATCTCATTAATAAAAGCAAATACGAATTTAGTTCGCTAGCAGTAATGATTATTCGCTTATTGGGTATTTACTTACCAATCAATTATGTAAACATAAAACTAAATTAATTGATATTTGTTCAGAGAGAAGAAGATTTTGTATGAGTGCGTGATATGTGACTAATGAAACATTTTCAATAGAGAT